CAGTTTTTTGCTTATTCGGGTATGAGGAAGATGACTTTATTGTAAGAAAGCACAGAAAGGACCAATGAATAATGATGATGATGATGATAATAATAATAATAATAATAATAATAATAATAATAATAATAATAATATTAGAAGTTCTTAGATTTTGTAATATGGTTTCTAACCAGAATTTTAGAGTCCCTAGTTGGTTAGCTAGTGAGATTTTGGTAGCGAGGATTATAAGTTACTTGGCTTAACTCTTAGGTTTCCTTTAGTAATTTTTTTGCTATTGAATTTTCGAAACATGATTTTGTACTGAGGCTAGAAATTATGTAGTGGGTAATTTGTTAATGTGTGGGCAACCTCCATTATCGATTTGATGTTTGGTTCTTTTCAGTACATTGTAGTTTAGTGTATTATTTTTTTTTATCTGAGTGCTCGTTTGAGAATATTTAAATGTCCTATGAATAATATATGGCGTCTGTGGGGGACATGGAATTGCGAAGTTTTGATGCTCTCACGGGGATGTATTATGTTGGTTTCATTGTGAAAACATCTTGAGCACCTTTATACCTTTTGTATTTTATAGTTTTGAAGAATACTATGTTTCACCGTTGTTTCTTCACATAATGAAAATTCCTTTAATGTTGGTGTTTGGCATTTTCCTTTTTGTGTGTTCCAGGAGAAAAAAGTTGTACTAAACTAATGAACATCTTATAAGTATTTGTGATTGTCTTGCATTTGTCACAATTAAGTATGTCACAATGAAAAGTTTTAATTTTGCTATTTGAATGTTTATTTGTTATTCAGTGGTTGTTGACTAAAAACACCCCTACGGGACACCTTGATTTCACAGGTCGATCTTTCTCCAATAACAAGTTTCTTTTTCAAGTCTCAATTGATGCAATCATTGGATAGAAATTGTTCCAGTAGCAATGTATTGATCAAGGAACATCCAACGGTTTCAAGTTTCAGTTTCGGTTTTTGAAGTTTCCTAATTACATTTTGGTGGTACATGTTTGGAGACTTAATTTTATTTTGGAGAAGATATTGTGTTGAATATTTTACAAATTTAATGAGTACATGTTTGTTAGTTTATTATTTTGGTGGTACATGTTTGTTAGTTTTATACTCGACTTGTTGGATCAAAGAACAGGACTTTTAGTAGTGTGTAAAGCATATATAAAAAAATGTGAATTATCTATTGTAACGTTCGCCAAACGTTGCAATAGATAGCTATTGAAACGTTTGATGAACGTTGCAAAAGCCTGTCTATTGCAACGTTTACTGAACATTGTCTATTGCAATGTTTGGCGAACGTTGCTGCAATAGACTCTCTATTGCAACATTCTCCAAACATTGCAATAGTCAGGCTTTTGCAACGTTTGGCGAATGCTGCAAAAACTTGGAACTTAACAGTAACATCAGTCTTCGCAACATACGCTAAAACTTTGCAAATGACTTTTTGCAACTTTTTTGGCCGCTGCAATAGCCCTTTTTTGGTGTAGTGATTTTATTTCATATATTCGCTTAATTCTTTTCTCTGCACGGGCTATAGGCCAAATCATATAACTGCAAGCTGTCCTTTAGCCTCTATTCATGTTTATCAACTTGAGAAATTTGGTTATACACTGAACTTTTAGAGATAGTAAAACTATCCTTACTCCAACACCTATAATCCAGTTTGGAGCAAGCATCCGAACTTCTCATGGGTAAATAATCAAGGACAAGGATATCAAATTTAGGGTAACCCACAAGAATTTCAACAGCAATAGGAGAAGAGGTCATCTTCGGAGGATCTACTCGCTAAGTATATTACAAAGACTGAGAGTGTAATCCAAAAACTGGCTAGCCTCAATCTAAAATTTAGAGAATCATGTGGGATAGTTAGCAGCAGCATTAGCCAAACGAACACTAGCAGTTTTTTACAGCTGTAAAAGTCTTTTTTTGGTGTAGTGAATATGAAAGAGAATTTAAGAAGCAAGGTGGTACAAAACTTTATTGATCTTTATTAACTTTTTTTAATTGCATTTATTAACCTTCAATTTAATTAGCACACCTAATTTTTCATTATAGTTTTTGTCAAATATTTCATTTATAATGTAGAAAATATTTTATCTACCTTTTAATTTATCGTTTATTTTACTTATTTAAAAATTTATTTGACAAATAAGTCTTTTTATTTCCCTACTAATGAAATAAATATCATTTATGAATAAATTATTAAATTTAGTCAAATAAATATTTGGTAAGCAATTTTTTAGTTGTAGTTCCAAATAATAATTTAATACAAACAATACTTTTGATGAGCAACCAAATAGTCAACAACTCTTTTGGAAAATACTCTACTCATAAAAGAAATGTCCACAACAGTCATACCAAACTGACTTTAAGTCATTTAATTTGTCAAACACGAATTGCTAAACGACTATATGTTCGACAAAAACTAACATTTTCTACTAAATATTAACAATTAAGCTTATGTTTGAATCATGTTTACAGTTTATACTCAAAACTATTTTTTATTTACATGTTTGGAGAAACTAACAAGTACTATTATTTATTTACCATTCAAATTTATTTTTATAAGTTGCATTGTTTATACACTTCTCAAACATGTTTTTGAATTTTAGGTAACTCTATTTTCCCAATGTAAATTTGAATTTTATATTTTTAGGTTAGTTAAAGGTGATTAATACCTCGATTAGAGTGACAATGAACCAGCTCGACCCTTAAACACATGAGTTCGGCTTGTATCCAAATTCTAGTTTCGACTTGAGATATTGACTCGTGAACCTCATGGAATAACCCAAGTAGGCCTTTTTTTTTTTTTTTTTCTTTTCCTTTTTTTGAAGTTAGCAAAATAAGTAAAAAAAAAAAAAAATAAGCAAATTTTTTCCACAGAAATTACTAAAATAAATCAAAAGAGAAAAAAGGAGTCAACTTGTGGACCTCACGAGTTGAGACAATGAAAAAATTGAGCTCAGCTCAGTTCGATTCACTCATAGATCGACCCAATGATCAATTCGATTCGTTTGCGACCCTAAGTCCAACTAATATGTTCCGGGTCTAAGTATGGAGAACATGACTAAACCTTTGTTTGAGTTCTATACTTACAAAAATTATTTTTAACCACACATTTTTTAATAAAATAATATTACATGTAAATATAAAATTTTTAATCATACTTTCTCTAACAATTTACTGTTCAAAATGTATTCTAGCCGGGGGCTCAAGCAAGGGTCAAAACAATCTGCATCAAACACGTGTCACTTACTGCCAAATGATATGTCACTTACTGCCAAATGATATCATTCCAATAGATAAAATCCCCGATAAAAGACACATTTAATTAAAGATTTTGTAAGTACATGTACAGGGCAGAGTCGATTGAAGAGTTGTTGATTCCGACTGCGCGTGGGGAACTGAAACTTTGGAGTGTAGTAAGTGACGTTAATCGGACACGTGTAGGGGAAATAGGAAGATTTAAGCTGTTGTAGCCACGGAGAAAATGGCAGTCCACCTGGAAGTTGCCACGCGCTGGCTGCAAATGGCACACCTCCAAGGGACAGAAAGATGAGGATGCTTTTAAGGTGAATCTTTAGCAGCGCCAAGTTCACAAATACCCTATGCATGATTGTGTTGTATAATTCGGATAATTATTTATTAAAAAAAAAAAAGAATTAAACTCGAACTATTATTTTATTAGTAAAATAAAAAATAAATAAATTAAACGAATGTATTTTTTTTTATAACTCAAAAATGAATGGGATAGTCCAAACCAATCCCCTCTCGCTCTTGATTGATTTGTATGTGAAGTTTGACATGTAAAATGTAGGATTGAATCAATTAAGTTCGGTGTTCTAAAATGTGTAATGTGTGACGATGCATGGAGGCCAAAATATGGGATAAGCGAGTTTAGACAAGATATAGGCGTAAAAAAGCTTAAAAATGTGTTTTCTTACTTTAATATTTTTTTAATTTTAAATCAATCAAAAAATTATTTAATAACTAAAAATAACACATACCAAACATCTAAAATGGATTTATATGAACTTTACACATTTTTCCCCAAAGTTTCCAACAAAAGATAAGTTTCAAATGTAAATCCTAAACAATAAATTAATAAAAAATTTTGGGAGTTCTTATTTGTTTAAGGTTTGAAGTGGCTGTTTTGAATTTAGGGTAAACTAAGTGAAGAAATCAACCTTTAATTTTAACTTAATAGAATTGTAAAAAAAATAAAAAAAATAAAAAAGAAAAAAAAAAGAAAAAGATAATTATGTAAGCCTAAGCGTGCATAATCACGCCTAGACGTGAATTAGTCATTAACAGCAATCGTTGACCACTAAATAAAGCTGCTTGGCATTTCCGCCGCGGTGTTACCCAGACGCGTCTTTTATAACACTGATTAAGTTTAAACTTCATTTTCAATCATGTCTTATAGTAAATTTACAAGTACTATCGACTTATTCACCAATCATTTATATTTATTTATAATTTAAACTTCCCAAATGGAGATGTGCAACTAGGAAAATTATTTCAATAGTAGGCTTTTTGGATTCTTGTTGTATGTATAATTCTTGTCCTATGATCTTTTCTAAAGGGATATGGATACTTGTTTTAAAATAGGTTCAAAACTAGTTAAATCGTATTGTATACACCTTTAATGTCTACAAAAATCAGCTCAACTCAATTTAGCTTTATGAGTTTTATTCCTTTATATGTAATGCTTGAGATAAAAGAGTAATGTTTTGAACTTTATGTATAAAACACCAATAAATATACAGAATATATTAGCTGTGATTAAGGAGTTCATCTATAATTATACAATCTATTTCCCTTTACAGAATATTTTGCCCAAACATAATTGCATTTCCTTAGATATCATATTCTTGGTGTATTATATATACACCAATGTACCATGTATCAAATCAATGAAAATTGCTTCATTCTTATGAAACTTAACATGATATCAGAGCATTAGGTTTCGAAAACCATATCCTATCTCTGCCATGGCCGATCCTGTTCCTGCCATTGTCTTGGATACCACCAAATCTCTTACATATGCTTCTTCCCCATATTACCTGCACGCATCTAATCAACCAAACCAACTCCTTGTTGATGCTCTTCTAAATGGAGACAATTATCCTGCTTGGCGTCGATCGGTAACATGCGCCTTGAATGCCAAAAATAAATTAGGATTCGTCCTTGGCACCATCAAACGTCCAACTACAAACACAACAGCTGCACTTCTTTGGGATCGTTGTTGCGACATGATAATGTCGTGGTTACTTCATTCCATTGATCGATCTCTCACCGGAAGCCTCCTTTATTGTGAAACGCCCAATAACCTATGGGTCGAACTGGAAACCAGATTTCAGCAAAGCAACAAGACCAAAATTTTCACCCTCAAACGTGACCTTGCCACTCTTCACCGAGGACATCAATCAATCACTAATTACTATGGAAAATTGAAAGAGTTATGGGATGCATTAGCCTCCCTCCAACCGGTCAATACATGTACATGCGGGGTAGCAAAGACCATATCTGAAACGCAAGATTCGGACAAAGTTTATCAATTTCTCTTGGGATTAAATGATAGTTTTCTGCACTGCTCTAGTCACATCTTCAGGTACTACTCATCCTATTTCCAATTTTATTTCGTATCATAATTTTTCTGCAGATCATTTTACATTTATGATAGCTCTATCACAATCCTCCGATCCCACTTGATACTCTCAAGCTGTTAAACACCCCCATTGGCATGATGCCATGCAAGCTGAGATTCGAGCACTTGAGTCCAATAATACTTGGGTTCTCACACACCTTCCTCCCGGTAAGAAACCTATCGGCTGTAAGTGGGTCTTCAAAACTAAACTACATGCAAATGGTTCCATTGAATGGTATAAGGCTCGGTTGGTAGCTAAGGGTCACACTCAGGTTGAAGGCCTTGATTATCATGGCACTTTTGCTCCTGTTGCTAAACTTGTTACTGTCCGTTGTGTTTTGGCTATCGCAGCTGCTTGTAATTGGCACCTCCATCAACTTGATGTCAATAATGCATTTCTTCATGGCGATTTACAGGAGGAGGTCTATATGACACTCCCTCCGGGATATGGTCGAGAGGGGGAGACTCGTGTTTGTCGTCTCCTTAAATCTCTTTACGGTCTTAAGCAAGCTTCTCGTAATTGGTACTCAAAGCTGTCTTCTGCATTATTGTCTGATGGATTTTCTCAATCTACAACTGATCACTCACTTTTTACTCGGACTATTGGCTCTTCTTTCACTGTTGTTTTGGTGTATGTTGATGACATGTTGGTTGTAGGAAATGATCTTTCTGCTATCACTACCCTCAAAAAATCGCTGGATAACAGGTTCAAAATCAAGGATTTGGGTACCATGAAATACTTCCTTGGACTTGAAATTGCCCGGTCACCGCTTGGTATTTTCATTAATCAGCGAAAATACACCCTCGACATACTTGCAGATTTTGGTAATTTGGGTTCACGACCTGCCTCTTTTCCTATGGATCAAAATTTGAAGCTTACTCCTGATGATGGCACTCTGCTTTCTGATCCCAGTTCTTATCGATGATTAGTGGGTCGACTTCTATATCTCACTATTACTCGTCTGGACATCTCATTCTCTGTTCATATGTTGAGCCAATTCATGCAAAGTCCTCGAGATTCTCATCATCGAGCTGCACTTCATGTCCTTCGTTATCTGAAAGGCTCTCCGGGTCATGGACTATTTTATTCCTCCCAGAGTGATCTCAAGCTCTCTGCATACTCCGACTCTGATTGGGCCAGTTGCCCTACCACTCGTCGTTCCACGATTGGTTTCTTCGTTACTCTCGGCACTAGCCCCATCTCTTGGCGTACAAAGAAACAGACTTTTGTTTCCCACTCCTCTGCCAAAGCTGAGTACCGTGCTATGGCAATGGCCACCTGTGAACTTGTTTGGCTCAAATCTGTTTTGCGTGATCCTGTTGTTGTCTATTCGGAACATATATTGCTCTATTGTGATAATGAAGCCGCTCTTCACATCACTTGCAATCCTGTCTTCCATGAGCGCACCAAGCATATTGAGATAGATTGTCATTTTGTTCGTGAAAAATACCTATCTAGGCTCATTCTTCCTGCACACGTATCTAGCAAACTTCAACTGGCGGACATCTTCACAAAGGCTCTTGGAAAGGACATTTTTCAACATTTCACTCGCAAGTTGGGCATTACAGACCTTCATGCTCCAACTTGAGGGGGAGTATTAGCTGTGATTAAGGAGTTCATTTATAATTATGCAATCTATTTCCCTTTACAGAATATTTTGCCCAAACATAATTGTCCTTAGATATCATATTCTTGGTGTATTATATATACACCAATGTACCATGTATCAAATCAATGAAAATTGCTTCATTCATATGAAACTTAACAGTATATGATATATAATCTTCAATTGAGCATTTTGATACACATTAGTTTTAAATAGTAGAATATGTACATATCGATTCAAAATATGTTTATATAATAAGGTTTTATATTATGTCATTATTTTTACATTTTACGTTTCAATAACTAATTTCATAATCTTTTTAGCTTTAATTTGAAATGTTTTGAACTTGAGATTGAGTTTTTATTTTTTGATAACATTTCAAAATGTACATAATGATAAGAGACAAAAATAATTGACCTCATAATGGATCTTTGGACCTTAACGAAGAAGACCATCAAGGCGAATCTCAATTAACACAAATTGTCTTTAAATTTCATTGTTATTATGCAAAACTTTCTTACTGTTCGCTTTTTGACATTTTCACCTCTAATTTTACCTTTGATTGCGGAAAATATTACTTTCATCCAATTTCTCAATAAAAAATATAAAATAACAAATATACCCTCCTATTTAAATTAAAAAAAAGAAAAAGAAAAAGAAAAATTAAAGAACAATTGCAATTATACTCCCAAACTTTTGAAAAAACTGCAAATGAGTTCAAATAAATTATTAAAATGATACGTAGCACATAACATTCATACCTTTCAATATTATTGTGCAAAATGCCTTTATCTTTTTTTGACATTTTTACCCTTATTTTCAGGTTACATTGCGAAAATCATTATTTTCATCTATTTTCTCAATTAAAAGTTATAAAATGATGAATATTCCATCCTCTTCAAATGAAACAAAAATAAAGAAAAGAAAAATAAATTCTTATTTTTCTTCATTTTTTTTTCATTTGAATAAGAGGATATATTCGTCATTTTACAACTTTTAATTGAAAAAATGGATGAAGATGATGATTTTCGTAATGAAATGTGAAAATAAGCGTGAAAGTGTCAAAAAAGAAAGATATACACGTTTTACACAATAATATTGAAAGGTAGGGATGTTTTGTATTAATTACCTTTTTAATAATTTATTTGAACTCATATGCAATTTTTTTAAAAGTTTGGGAGTATAATTAGAATTTGGTTTTTAATTATTCTTTTCTTTTTGTTTTATTTAAATAGGATGGTATATTTGTCATTTTATTTATTTTTTATTGAGAAAAATTGGATGAAAATGATCTTTTTCGCAATGAAATGAAAAAATACCAAAAATGAAATATAGGAACGTTTTGTGCTAATTACCCTTTAAACAAATGCACTCAAAATTATTACATATTTGAAAAATCATTATAATTTACACTGTATATACTGTTAAACATAATTAAAAACCATGTTAATTACGGTAATAAGCAGGGTCTTCTTTAAAACTTACCGACAAGCACGGCTGCGATGCTATTCTTCTTCAAATCGAATCCAAAATTGATTCAATTCAAACACATTCTACTTCAATTTTGACAAAATTCAAAATCTGCATATCGATTTTCAGATATTATAGTAAAAAAAAAATACTGTTTAATATTAATAAAAAAATAAAAATCTCCTTTATGATTTTTATTTACCAATTTATAAAATTTTCAGTAATGATTTCAACTTTTATTCCAATTTCATTCTCCAGTCCTCGTTACTAGTTCAATTTTCAGGTAAATTAGATTAAGAACACAATCTACTTTGCAAAATCTGTTGAAATGATATTATGGATTTGAGATTTTTAAGGTTTTTTTTTATGTTAATACATATGAAAGTTAAACGTAGGATCAACGATGGTGATATAATAGACTTTAAGTGTTGTAGACTTTTTGTCACGAAAGACAAAGTAGATATTACTATTCATGTTAAAATTTTAATTAAACAAGTCAATCTTTTGACTAAAATGACGACTCTTGACAAATATAACGTCTTCTTTTATGAGGGTTTGGTTTGAAAATAATGAACACATTGATCAAGTTGAAGAATTTAGTCAGGTCATGTTCTTTACTTCTTGGATGAACTTTAATTTATTTATCTTTAGTTTTTGCCGGTACATTTTTATCGGTTTCTTTTTTCTTTTTCTTTTTTGAATTTTTTTAAAATTAAAATTATAAAATAAAAAGAATTTTGAATATGTAACACTTTGAAATGATGTCATTGAACTTGACATCTTGTGAATTGTGTAGTTGTAAGTTGAATGAAAAGTGGCTAAAGTTCTTATGAACTTCTAGAACTTATTTGGATTATTTAGTATAATTTACTTTATACCCCTTTCACTATACACTAATTCTTTGTGGGTAAGTCTTAATCACGTATGTGAAATTTTGAATGACAAATATAGGTGTGTTGGAGTGACCATAAATGCGAATTGACTTTTAACTAGCTAACCTTAGCTCGTGAATATTCACAAAGTATTTAAAAAAAAATAATAATAAAAAAAAAAATTAAAACAAAAGTGCTTGTCTAAAATAAAGACACAAAAAAAAAAAAAATGTATATTGGTATGTATTCATTAGCTTCAATATGTGCTCATTGATAGAGGACAATAGAAAATTTGTGAAAAAATAATTTGAGTTATCTTCTTTAACTATGTTTTAGCAGTGCCGGGTTTGCCTTTTATTTGTTGAAAAAAAATTCATTCACACCAATGATTTCTCGATGCATGTCCCTTCTCACCAAGTTAAGGTCTTAAGTCATGATCATAAAGTATTAGTGCCACATTACACACATTGGTTTGTTATACCTTGTAATCTATATGAACGTAGAAAGAGTTGTGTGGATGATATCATTGTTCAATTTTAATACTAGTTTACATGATCAGTATCTCGTTCTTGTGATGCTCACTTGATAAGTAGTTGTCAATCCATTTTTAAGCAATAGCAATTTTTTTTTTAATTTTTTTTGTTTTTTTAACAATTGAAAGATTCTTGAATGCCCTATGATCATTTGTAATAAAAAGGGTGAGTAGGAAAATGATGTTGATGTTGATTAAATGATGGTAATTTGTAGATTGTTTATTGCCATGTTAGTACTATGTTGCATTGTTTCTTATTATTACACGTTTTCACTTTCATTCTTTAACTATCTCAGGACTTGTTGCTGTAGTTTTCTCTTGCATTTCACGTAGTGTTGTTTGAGGTGTTGAATTTCAAGAAACATGTATGAAAAGGAGTTTGGGATAGGTTGTGAATATGAGTGTTGTGTAGTTGGTTAAAATTCTAACATGGTGGGTGTTAGAATTTAATTCATTTGTTGCATTTGTTATTGATATTGTCACTAAATGTCAAAGGGAGAGCTTGTTATATCTAAATAAGTCTTATCAAGTTTCATATCCTAAATCATTGAATCGAGTTGTCATTGGGGTAATATTGAGGGGTATTAATAATTGGTTTAGTATGGCATTAAATATCATAAAATATGAATAAATCTGCTTGTCTATCGCTCAAGGACTGCTAAGGAAGGCGCTCGAGTGCAATTCCCAGAGTGAAACTGCCCTTGGATGCCCAAAGGGTGCTCGATCGCCTTTTCTTTCCAGGTGGATATTTGAATTTAATTCTTTTTGTTTTTGTTTTTGTTCTTTTTGGTGTTTATAAATGATTTTGTCACTGAATGTCAAAGATAGATTTTGCTAGATTTAGGCAGGGACGGATCTAGGATTGGATCCAAGATCGGGCTACAAAATTTCATACCGGGCTACTATGCGGAAAAAAAAAATTTACACACAAAAAATTGATTTTTTACCAAAAAATAAATAAAAAATACCTTAAAAAAAAAACTCTTGGGTCTAGGAGGGGGGTTACAGCCCCACCTAAATCCGTCTCTGGACTTAGGTCTTAACAAGTTCTGTGTCCAAAATCATTAAATCGATAGATAGCATTGACAGGTGTTAATAGAAAAAAAAGGTTGAACTCCAACCTTGAGGTCCACCACTGCCCCGTCCTTGGAGCATCATGAGGGAGGTAAATCGCGGAATGTGCCCCAGTAGACCACGAAACAAGAGTTTGCCCGTATACTGGTGCTCACAAAAAGTCCAATTCCATATATCAACAATCGAACCCTCACACTGTGACTACCAACAAGATTGAAACTACCTCACTCCTTTTTTTTACACCATTGGGTTATGTCCCAGGGATCGATAGGTGTTAATAGTTAATTTATCATAATATGAAATAAAATGCAAGTGAAATATATCTGCTTTTCTATCGATTAATGATTGCAAAGAAAGGGGCTCGAGTTCAATTTCCTGAGTAGTGCTAAAGGATGTTCAAGCACCCTTTCTTTTTAGGTGACTGGCAAAACTTTGAAACATCACCCAAACAACTAAAACTGTGAAATACATTTTACATACAACAAAAAATTGACGTTTTGTATTTGTGGAAGATAAAGGAAAAGTTAGATAAGATCAACAGAGTTTTGTACCACCTTGCTTCTTAATTTCTCTTCAATTCCTCTCTTTCTTTCTTTTTTTTTTTTTTTTTTTTAAAGAAAATACCACTAGTGTGATTT